TTATCTGAAAGGTGGCATTTCCTGAGGCCTGGTACTTCATTAGCGGCATGCTCAGGCACTGGCACAGCACTAGCTCACAAAGAAGAGAAATTTTACATAAGAGCTAGAGAAATAACAAAAGATCACACAGAAAAATACATACCTTACTATCTAACAAAGGAGACTGTGTAACTGGTAAATATTTATGTCAGACTGAGAAATCCCAAGGGAGATTAAAAAATTAAAGACTGCTTTCAGAGACAGAAAAATGTAACCTACAAAACTCTGTGTGATCGCTCAGGAGAATGAAGAAGTAAGCAGGACTACTGTAGACATATATGTATAAACTGTAGGCAGTTAATATACGTTTACATTCTAATAATTTCAGTCACTTCAGCACATCTTTAAAATCCTTTGTGGTATTTTATAAAATATATACCAATCCTTCCAACCAAATCACTACTATAATATAAATATAAGGATATTAAGATATAATGGATATAGGCCTTGATTCAGCAAAGTATTTAAGCATGTGCCTGTCCACTTGAGTAGTGCCACTGGCTTCAGTAGGGTCATTCACATACATGAATTTAGGCAAGTGTTTAAATACCTTGCTGGATCGGGCCCATAGTGCTCTTGAAAGATTGACAGTCGTAGCTTTGTCATCTCTTTATCCATAAAACCCATAAGGCAACCAATAGACAAGCTTTCCTACACTGCTCTGTCAATATGCTTCTGCAGGCACCACAAGGAGTGGGTGTTAGGGTAGTTCAGTCCCTCTGTCCTTAAACTCTCATTGCCCTCTGCTGAAACTACCAACAAGAGAACTGATCCTTGCCCCAGGTTAAATTAAACCACAGCCACGCAATTAATTTCTTACATTTTTCAAAAGTATAAACGTATGGACTTTCACTGTAGCTGTTCCTGTTATCGATTTTAAAAACATCTTAGCTAAGTATTTACCCTTTTTTTGGATATCACGGGCAAATGACTGTCACAGGAGATACTGCCCACAACTCTGATCTTTCTGAGAATACAATCAATTGGCTCTCACTGCATATCTATCACCAAGGGAACAGCACACAGCCAAAGAAACAGACAATACTCAGTGGAATGAAATGGGGGGGAGGGGTGGAACCCTGCAATATTTACTTTTTAAATATATTTTGAATTAAGATGTTACAAAGATATCAGTATTGGAAAAATATGGTTTCACTTCTTGTTTGAGTATGACCCACTGAGGATTGGCTTTAACAATTGTCCAGTATGTAAATATTATTACAGGATTTAAATCCACTCACTATTTAACCTACTGCTGCCGTTTTTCTCTCTCATTTCCATTTTTTGTTAAACTGGTCTGTTCGTGGTGTTTGCCAAACACCAGCAGAAAAGAAGAAGATAGCAAGGGATAAAGAAGGAGGAGTAGATAAATCTATCATGAGACTCTCTAAATGACTTTACTGTTCTATGCAGTGTGTTGAGCAGTGAAAATATTTTCCATATTCCAAATGTCTTTCTCTGCTCTTCCAATCAGGAACAAATCTAAGCAGAGTGGAGAGGACAGAAGCAAAGGGATATGGTTTCCCTCTTCCCTAGTCAGTGTCGCCTGGGCTTCAATCATGTGAGGCATAAGTAGTTGGAAATCTTTAAAACACAGCAACATATTTTTTAAAACAATGTTTTCTTTTGCTTCTGAGACTAGCATAACAGCACAGTCGTGCAAGTGGAAGCACAAGTAGAAGCAGAATTCCTGTAGGAATTGGAATGGAGATGATGGAGCAAAATATAGTCATTGTATCGTGGACGTGGTTTTGCATCTAATCAATATAATAGAGCTTGAGCCTCATTGAGGCTCCTAGGGGCTATTATAACATTAATAATAACTTGGGATTTACAATAATAGTGATAGTGTCTCTCCAGTTGTTACTGATTCTTTTTTTTTTTTAATATTGTCAAACTCCTTTTAGAAAGTCAGTTTAAAATCTATGGGCCAACTAGTATAAATTGGTACAGCTGAGGACCTGGCCTACTGTTTCTAAAAGGAGTTTGATAACTAGGTTCTGGCCTGTGTGTGTGTATTCACAATCATGTATTTAGAAAATAAAGACAAATTCCCTGCTATTTAAATCCAAGTTCAGTTCTTACTAAAATGTTTCCGTGCAATTCTTCCAATGACTATCTCTTAATTGTAAACTGAAGTAAATCACTGACTTACTTTAGTAGCATCAAATATGATATTTTAAAAAATTATAGGAAATTGCCGTTTTGATGGTTGTCCCTATAGGACAAAATGAATTACATTCACCATTTGAAAGCACTGGAAATCTGATTGATCAAAAGAATTTACACCAACTCTGAAACAGAGTTTTCAAATAGTGAATTTGATTTCTAGCACTAATTTTGGCCCTACAGACTGTCAGCACTATGCATGCTTCCCCAAAATGTTTTTTCAGAGCACCATAATCCTCTTCTGCAGCACCCCTACTAGTTCAGTACTGAGTCTCTTGAGGGAAGCTTATTGTGTACCAGGTGAGATTATGCTCTTGTGATATCAGGATATGTCCCTGAGATATCAGAAGTTTTCTTTACTTGTCGCCTAAGTTAAGATTTAAAGCCAGAGCTCCAATGGTGAAAGTCTAATACACTAGCTGTGCTGCATACAAGTTTTATTATGCTATGTCATACAACTCCATAACCACTCCAACTGAAGAAGTAAGGGATGCTGAACAAGCCTATTTGGAACAATTACTAAACAGCGTTGGTGTCTTGAGTAATTGCATTAATAATGTTGCCCCTTGCCCCTCCTTGTTTGAATATGAGTACTTAGCCAGCCAACCTGCCATCCCTCTTTACCCCTAGGCTGTGTCTTGATGGACAGAAAGGATATGTTTTTCAAATGTGTTGTCTTAACATTTTGAAAAAGCCCATTAAGACTCAGGCTAATCCATTTGCTGGCTATGGTGTCGCCTGGGTGGGGTGGGAGGTCAACTGAGCATTAAGCTAACTCCACTGAGCTAACAGAACAAACAGACCCTTTTTGCCTATCAAGATGCGGCCTTAATGATGAACTTGAGGACCAGCTGCTCATGCATTGGTGCACTTTGCAGCATAAGGTGCTCCAAAAGGCACAACTATACGGGGCCACTCAGGAAAGCTAAAGTGAATCAACTAAAGGTGTGAAGTCAGTACCCATAAATTAAAGTGTGTGAAACTCCTGTGTGTATGCCTCCTTGGAAGAGGATTAAGTTAAAGTGATTTAAAGCCATTTGACTCCTGAATGAGAGCCTGGCAGAGCCAGGTGGGGGATTAGCGCACTTTAATTTATGCTCATTGACATCACACCTTTAATTGAGTCAGTATAACTCTCCAGAGTATCTTTGTGCAGATAAGTCCAAAGAGAGTGTCAGAATCTCCTGTGCAGTTCAGGACCATCGAGGATATTAAACCTCATGCTACAAGGTTTAAGCAGATCCCCTGAAGTACTTGGTGGTGGCCATTGACAGAGACAATATATTGGACTAGCTGGACCTGGGGTCTGATCCAGTATGACAATTCCTATGTTTCTGTGGAGACTCTTATTGGATCACAACATGTGGGCCAGTGGAGAAACAATATAGAATGGCCCTGCGCAGAGACAGCTCAGCCATGAGCGTGTCATTCAAGTAGGGAATGGTGCACCAGAGGCTGCTGCACAGAAGGGAGGAAGCTAAAGCATCAATGGGTGGATTGAGGGAGGGATGATCATAGTGGACCCCACTTCTAAGCCCCCTTCAGCAGTCAGTTTTCCTGTACCCCACAGCAATAAGTGCCCGAACCAGAGAATGTCTCAGATGTTGAAACATTACTTCATCCCTCTGGACTAATCTTGTTCCCAAAACACACAAAATACTTCCCTAGCTGCCAAAACCATCCCATATGCATCCTACTGGTGTCCCCATAATGAGACTAAATGTATGTCCTAGTTGAAATAGTCTGGTCACCCTCCTACTTAACATGATAGTCATTCACAGATGCCTGTTCCTTAATTCTCCTAGAGAGAGTAACAAGTACTGTGGAGAATTTCAGCCCCCTTTGTCCTCAGGGATTCTCAACCTTTTTCTTTCTGAGGGCCCCCCAACATGCTATAAAAACTCCACGGGCCACCAGTGCCACAATAACTGGTTGTCTGCATATAAAAGCCAGAGCCAGTGTTAGGGGGTAGCCAGCAGGACAGATGCCTGGGGTCCCATGTAACGGGGCCCCTGCAAAGCTACATTGCTCAGGCTTCAGCTGCAGCCCTGGGTGGCGGGGTTCAGGGCCCTGGGCTTCAGCCCCATTCAGTGGGGCTTTGGCTTTCTGCCCTGGGCCCCAGAAAATCTAACACTGTCCTTCTTGGTGGACCCCTTAAAATCTGCTCACAGCCCCCCAGGGGATCCGGGGATCCCTGGTTGAGAATCATTGCTCTATAACTTTTTTAACCTTTCTAAGCATCTAGGTAGCATCTTCTGTGTTTCAACTGAGATTTTGAACAGGTTTTTAATAGCACCTGTAGCAAAGGGGTTTTAACCATGGAAGACAATAGTTAGACGCACACACGCAGGTTCACAGTCTGCAGTACTCTGCATCTTGCTCCAGAAAAGAAGGGAAGCAGCTTTATAAAATGCTGCTAACCTCACTGTGATTGTGAATAGGCTAGACTTGAGATCCTTAAGTGTTTTTCCTTTTCCCTTTTAACTGCAATTTTGTTATTGTACGGCTGCCCCCATCTCTACTAAATATGGCTTTTGAAATGTAAATCATATCATGTTCTCAGCGATGCATCTGACACCCTCAGCACTGTTTCTCTTTGCACTTCAAAGAGCTGTGCGGTCACACTTTGCATCTCAGCAAAATCACAATATTTGCCTTCTGAAGATCTCCTTTAATGTGTACAATCAATCCCTGATCATGTGTTTTGGGTTTTTTTGTTCCCCAGAGTCTATTAATATTAATGTTGCTAGAGGTCATCAGGAAACATAATCTCTTCTTTTTTAATTTCTCAGTGAGTGTGCCTGAAGGGGAAGAGAAGCACAAGAGAGACAAGACAATTGAACATCACAAGTGGCTCAGTCCCAAAAAAATTATGCTGGATGAACAGTGGATTAGAACTAAATTTTAAGAAGGAAATACAATCTCAGTCTGACAATTGTCTTCACTTTCAAATTCATCATGGCCAAAATCCTCTGGCTGGACGGCTGAGGTGAGTGTCGTACGTTTGCTGTTTGGGCTCAGTGCATATCCCTTGTACCTACGGCTCAAAGGACCTGGGAGCAGGTGGGAATTGGATGATGCCAAATGCTGGAATGGGGAGAGAAATGGACTGTGACAAGCTAAGATGGAAGTGACTTGACAGCTTCAAGCCTAGCAGTTGCCTCTAGTAAGGACAGGTTAAGATTGGAATCACAAGTTTCGCTGAGAGAGCAGTATGCAGGAAGCTGGTTTTCAGGCCACAAATGCTTTCACAGGTAAGGACCTTTGTCGCTATCATTAAACTAATAATTTCTGGGCAGATTACTGTTGTTTGGGAAAATAAGTGGCATTAGTATGTGGCAGTAGACAGCACTTGTGGTGAGCATTACATTCATTGAAATAAATAATTCAACTCCTATAAGGTAACAGAGACTAACTCAGCATTTGGTTCAGTTATTTTAAGTTCTTTGAAATCGATGGCTATGTGCCTTCGGAAGGGAGCACCCAAACTTTGCTGATCCAAGTGTTTCACTGACAACTTGCCAGGGGCAGGAGAGGCCGCCTAAATTGCATAAAATGTAGCAGGTTACAACTGCTCTTATTTTTAATATGGAAGTGAGTCCTGGAGAGACTACAGGTCACAGCAGGCAAAGTGCCCTGTCTTGTCTCAAGCAGAGCTGCTGCATATTGGATTTTGTAGTCTCCATGGGCTGTATCTCCATACGCAAGTGGTGTCCATGAGCTGAATTTGCCACGTGATTGTCATTTGGGCCACTCTTGCTTTAGTTGCCAGGGTATTTAGTCAATAAAATAACTGGTTCAAATTTATTTTCCTGTAGGTGTGTTGGAAACAAAATAAGAAAGCAAATAAAGCTGTGCTTTCTTTTCAAGAAATCTTCTAGTGAAAATTCCATTAGAAATTCCATTATAATCTTTCCATATGTCTCTCTCTTGATTTCTAATGGGGGTGAGGTGGGCAATAGACCTTGTTGCTTTGTTCCCATGCCTGCTGGCCAACTGAGAACCAGCGGGAACTGGCTGAAAATTCTACTGGAATTTCTGTCTTTAGAAGAATTTAGATAATGGTCTAGTACCACAGCACAAATTAAGTATAGGACGTGTAACATGCATTTTTCCCATTTTAAAATCAGGTGACGAATTACTGGATTATTATTAATTATTATTATTATTGGTTATTATTATTTTTTTGGATACATATACCCAGGAAAGAATAATATCCCTGTTTCAGAGCTACTTTCATCAATACTCCCGGCTGGACTGGTAGTTTTTTCCAAGGGCAGAATCCCAATTGCGCTTTCTGGTGGCAGCTTCCTCAGCACAGACATACTTCCCACTCTTTCTTGCCTGAATTTGAGAGTAACCCTAAATCCAGTTATTTTTATATTGAAGAAACATGACTAGTGAACTAGGGTTTAAAGCTTTCTCTAAATGAGGTTATGTTGTCATGTAGTGTGGCGTGCAAGGTTCACTCTGTCTCATAAGGGATTATCCTTTCTTCCTCAAAACAAAAAGCTATACTCTTAGGGATCTGCCCTCGCATAAAAGCATTAGGGTACTCTTCCATAGTGAAGAGTTACTCAAGTGTTTAAATATGTTTATAGGTATATATGCACACACCGTACATTCAGGTGACTTGTAAAGGAACCAAGCTGAAAACTCATCCCTTTATGTTATGACAAGGAGAAAGACATATTTTCTTCAAACTTGTTTCAGACTACTGTCTGCATTTTCTTTCTTAAGAATATTTGCTTCCTCGTTGTTATTTCAGTACAATATCTAGAGATAAACAATGACATTCAGTGGACAGCTTGTGAGTTAATTGCATGGTAGGTGAGTGTTCCTTAGAGAAATGCCCAGGAATGCATTTAAAGACATTTTTATTTTAATTTAACAGTTGCAATCAAAATGTAATGTTAGCAGTGTACTGTTGCTCCCACAACCCACACTTACTTCAATTATGAGAGTGGTGGTTTAGCCTCATAACAAAGTATTACAATGATATCCTGCAGTTAGTGTAGTCTGTAGTGAGGAGGAGGGTGTGAGCGCATGAAAAAGACAGTCATTTGCCTCATTAGCATTTATATGTACAATAAAGAAGCTTTGAAATCTGTGTCAGTGTTGAGCCTAGTAGTACTAAGTGAGAGCAACTATAGTTACAAGCAGACTAATCACTTTCACTTTACAGCTGAATTAAGTGTTGGTGAAAGAAACCTTGGAAGACAGTATGCTTCTGTTTATCCATTATGGTACATCATGGCTCACCAACAGTTTTTAACCCTGAACCTGGAAGGCCTACTGTTAAGTCTCCATGCTCATTTTGTTGGGACAGCTGTCAAGGCTGCCAAACTGTAATTTATTTATTTGTTTGGTGATGTGATCACTTGTCCCTAAGAAATGGACTGAAGTCATTAAATCATTTCACATAGATAACCCAATAGCATCTGACAGTAACAGTTTTTTGTCTGTGCTGACTATATACTGATCCGAATGGCTGACTTAGAGGTAAAAAGCTCAGTATTCCATTACCAGTTCCCTGAATTATCTAGTCCCTTAACAGAGAGTAGTCTTTGTATAAATCTGCAACCTACTGTCCATTACCGTTTCTTCTACTCAATAATAATTGATAAGAAACCGATTGTTTTTTATATGTTCACAGTATTAATATTATTTTTACTTGAGCAGCATTTAGTTGTGCCCTTCCTCCCCCTCCTTCTTCCTGTGTGATATTCTCTGTGTGGATAGAGATATAATAGATAGAAGTAAGTAAATAGTATAGACATGCTTGAGTGTTAAAGGAACATATTACCCATTCTGCTCTGTCCAACTAACGGAGCGTTCTCAAGGTACTGTAAGAAGCACAATACTACATAAATTTGTAATGACCGCTTTTAATAGAAATTAAAGTTAGATCAAAGCGAGAACCATTTATTCAATTACCTCTGAAATTTGGGAATCTGGATAAACACGACCCAGAGCCAAACCACTTCTGGTATTGTCTTTACAACACTTGACAAAGCTTTTTCAAAAACAAAGCCAGACTTTTCCTCATCTACAAATGTGTAGTTAACCTTTTTGAGGTAAATGCTGGAGGTAGCCATCTTTCTCAAAAGTCAAGTCATTGGCAGCTCAGTGTAAAACAGTATAAGCATTTTTTCAAATTTGTCCTAGTAAATAAAATATAATAGCACTAAAGATACTATTAAAGGGAGTTGGAAATTCATTTATAGTTTGACACTGGGCTACCACTCTGCCATTGTCACAAATTTACATGACTTTCTAGCAAGATGGCCACCACTAGCAGTAGGCTTAGATATCCAACTATAATGAAAAACTTACTTTTGAAAAACACTACTTGAATGTACAGTAGAACATTCATTCTCCTCTCTGTGCCAGGCATGTTTGCATCTGCCTCCTTAGGTCAGTCTGACCTTCCTGGATACTCAGGAATTGCTTGTACAATCACAATTTTGTAGCCTTTATTTTAATTCTGAATTGATTAATAGTTCTGTGGTAAAGCACAGTGAGTCTGGCTCCTGTGCGGCCACAGTTTTAAGATTAATAGTGTAGTAATCACCCTTAGATTTGGAGGCTCTAGGAACACATGAAGAACGAAGACAGTGACCCCAGGCACAATCACAAGTAAGAAGTTTTGTCTGTATTATAAGTTTTACTAAGCAGATAATTAGGGTTACAATCTCACATTTGTGTATAAAACCTGAGAGGCCATTCAATAGTTTCTGCTGTATTCATACTCACCTATCCAAAGATGCTATTTAGAGTCCCTCTAGTGGATCTCTCAACAGGTAGTTGTCATAGAAGGATGGTTCCTGCTGGGGTTGTCCCAGTGAGGTCTTCCTTCCAGGTCTTCCCACTTTATCTCAGCCAGGGCACCTCTTTTATCTTGTTGTTCTGTCCATGCCTAACACCTTATGCACATACATGAGGGTTCCAACCCTCCTTTTTCTTATCTGTACTTCCACACCCCAGGAATTTTGGGGGTGCTCCACTTTCTATAGGTCGTTCTCTTATTTCTCCTTTTTCTTATTCGCATCTTATTAACATTTAAGTCAACCTGTTTCCAGGGCAATCTGTGCTCAGAACAGAACTTTTTGTGATGTTACAATCAGGTGTCTTGTGGTCTATTTTTCTGTAACATCACCTATTGGCACATTGTTTGTAGTAATCTTGTGGCTTTCTTGGCATAGGGTCAGTCTTAGGTCACCCACTCATATCAAATCTCCTTAAACCTGAGTCCTAGTGTGGCTAAGCTGAAATCTTACAGGCTTTAGCCTGTAGACCTTGCATTACTGCCTTGTTTTACTTATATACCTAATACACACTCATCACTCCTATATACTTGTCAACCTTATACTCCTATAGTCCTGTCCTACTTATATCTATTCATTTCACATTGATTATGTATGACATAACATATGAGTTTACCATGACAATAACACACTTCAGTGATAAAATGAACTAACTGGACACAATCCCTCGTTTGTGAGTTTTCAAGATTAGTGTGTCACACACACATCTCTCACTGCTTCTTAATTCTTGGGAGATACTGATTATATTTTGTTAATGCCCGTTAGCATGCAGATAATAGTAGATTGCATTCTGCTATAGTTATTATGTGTTATATGTTGAGCTCTGATAGTATTCTCTGCACTTCAGTATGCAGAAGAATACATGATCTCTGCCCCAAGAGCTTACAATCTAAGTATATTGCACTCAGTAAGATTGAGAAAAACATAGTGAAATGAAACTAGTTTAAATATGGTAACGTATACTTCACAGGTCTGTTTCTCAGGCTTAAATACTTTAAAATAATTGCTGTCATTACAGATAAGAAAGCCACTCATAAAGCTATTCAGCAATGACAGTGCCATATGATAGTGATAATTGTCAATTACAGCATTGTTAAATTTAAATCAATCTACCCTGGAATCTTCTAATCAATTACTGAACAAATATTGACTTTAGTAAGCTGTATTTTCCATATACAAATAGCCATTCGTTTCATACAGAAGGAGAATTTTATATTTTCAGTGGACCCTTTTATAGATTTTGATTCAGACCGCAGAATGTGTACTGAATACTTATTTGCCAGAAGGGACCATTCTGATCATCTAGTCTGACCTCCTGTATAACACAGGCCATAGAACTTCCCCAAAATAATTCCCAGGGCATATCTTTCAGAAAACATCCAATCATGACTTCAGAATTGTCAGTGATGAAGAGAGACCATCATGAC